ACACACAAAAATTGCGAACCTTGCAATATTTTTGGACATGACCTACCTCTTGACAGTGATGGCAGGTAAGCTCCAACACCGGAACTCTTCGCTGAAATTGCGACTTCCCCACCGCAAATGCTTCATCGCCCACAGCAAGAGAAAAAACTTCATGGCGACGTGAATGACCAGCAGCAAAGGCATGATCACCCACTCCAGGCCGCGCGTCCAGCTGTGATTGCGTACGCAATCGGGTCTCTTCCCTGACCAGCGTGCTCAACACCCCTTCAAACTTGATGTCTTCCCGATTAAGCAATGTCGCCCGGACATTCTCAAACTCAGGCCGAAGCCGCATCAAGAAGTGCATCAGCCGAGCCTGATTTCGCTTAGCAACAACATCGGCCGTCACTGCCGCTGGTCGAAGCGAAGCAGTCAAGAGGTCCTGCTCCGTCCAAAGCAGCTGAGCAGCCTGGAAATATGCCGTCACATCCAGGTCCCCTTGTTCCAATCGAGCGAGCGCCGTTTGCAATTCGAATTGCCTAGCGACACTCGTTGTCGAGTACGTCGAAGCCAGATAGGTCCACATCTCCGACGCAGCCGTGAACAACCTTAATACCAGAGCAACATTCGGATCCACCGATCCGTGAATCCAAGACTTGATCCGAGCATTGTTTTGCACCCATCGCTCAAGCTCCTGTGCCGTAGCCGGCGGGACTTGAGGCCTCGGCAGAGAACCATCCAACAGTGGAAGAAGTCCTTTGCCTTCAACAAAGATGCGAAATTGAAACTCCCATAACGCATAGTTCTTCGAATTGAGCCGAACAGACAGCCGATCAGAATCGGTCATAGAAAGCTCTGATACCATGTTGATTTTGCTGGACTGAACTGAACAATAAACGACACACTGATTTATGTGGTTTCCCCGATAACGGGACTAGTCCACGGGAGAGTTTTACCTCTCCGAGCTGAGAATATTATTAGGTTTTTCGTAGTTCTCGTTGGTAGGTTACATAATCAATTTATACAACTTCTCCTCTTCTAGCCCTCTACATACGTCGGCTGGCTAGGGCTCTACTGGGCTACAAACCGATATTACATACATGGGCCACAAATCAAACCCAAAAACCCAAACCCGCTAACAGCCTCCCCCAAATTGATGACTACTCTATAGCATCAATTTGTCAGAAAGGAACCAGTGGCGAGCACGAGAGAACGGCTTCGTAAACAAATCCGCCAGCTGATCTTCAGAGATCACATACTGAAGGCGAACAAAGGGTTGGGGTTGATCTGGGTTTGCTTATCTGATGTGGCGGAGGGGGTTTTTTTTTGGCTTATCTGTTAGCCACGTCAACAGTTAACTGACAGCACTAACGGAGTCTGACGGAGGTTAACGGAGAGTGACCAAACTTGGACTGTTCAACTAATTTAAATGACTACGAATGGAATAAATCAATTCGAGTGACCAAACATGAAATTTTGTAGCAATTCGAGTGACCAAACTTGCAATTTAGCCCCTTTTAATTGTAGTTCAGAGAGAGTTATGGATAAAGTTATGAGAGGAGAGAGAAAGAGAATAATCAATTATTAATATTCATTATATTTACATAATAACTTTATTTATCCTCAATTACCTATTAACTACTAACATTTTATTAACTACCTAATCCACTACCAATTAATAAAATGACTTAAGCAAAATGCTTAAACCTATAGGTTTAAGTAGGGCTGCTAAACGGTACGGTAACCGGTTTACCGGTTACCGTTTTACCGGTTTCGGTAATACCGGGCATAAAAAATCAGCCGCCGGTTACCGTTACCGTTCACGGCCGGTATGCCGTTTACCGATGAGACACGGTAGCGGTAAGTCTTCGAACTCCCGAATTTACCGACAGACCCTGCCCCCCTCGCTGGCGGCTGGCGCTGTCTCCTGTGACTTCCCTCAAATAATTATTAGTTAATGACTTCCCTCAAGTTTGCCTGTCCTTTGCTGGCCTCCTGTCGGCTGTCCCTGTCTCCATGATGGGTGGGGTGGCAATATCATTGATATATGATATTGATAGCATGCATAGGCAGCGAGATCATCATCAATTCATCATCATCATTCATCATCACCAACGAGGCAACGACACCACACCCCACACCTGACACAGTGACACGCACACGGCAAGTAAATTTCCAATTTCCAATTTCACTGACACCACCACATGGCTCAAGCTCAACCAATTTCCAATTTCATCAGAGTTCACCAACAGGCAACGAGACATTTAAATTGTCAATACTGAATAATATCAATATAGTAAATTAAATTGAAAATAATAAACCTAACAAGTAAATTCCAAACATCAATGATCAAATTGAAAAATTAAAATACTAAAAAATAAGATCAAATATAGCATTATAGTTGTACGTAGTACGTAGAATTCCAAATAGAGCAAATAGAGCAATTTGGTCTGCTGCTTCTACATGTTTAAATTAAATTCGAAGACATGAAGATAAAAAATAGAATTACTAGCTCCTCACTTGCCACTAGGACCTGTACCACCAACATCAACAAAACCTTGCTGCTTCAAAGTGGTGCGAAGGTTATCATCACCATTATCCTCCTCGTCCTGGTCCTCCTCATCCTGGTCCTCCTCATCCTCGTCTGAATCTTCCTCCTCTTCTTCCTCCACCACAACAGGTAAACTTTGTTTGACACCTTCACTTGGCTTGGCAGTAGCTCTCTCCATTCGAGTTTGGAAGTTAGTAGTGACTTAAGTGTAAAAAAAAAAATACAATTGTTACATTTCATCTAATAATATGTAATCAGAAATGGAGTAATGGAAAACTTAAAAATAAATGAAATTAAGAATTCTTACCACTTTCATAATCGATTTGGTCTTGATTTTCATCTTCTGTATTATCAACTTTGTCTGCTTTCTTTCCTCCTTCATACCTTACCCAATCTTCAGCACAAATCAAGGCCTCTACAATGGTGGGGCTCAACGAAGACCTAAACGGACTGAGCACTCGACCTCCACAACTGAAAGCAGCCTCTGAGGCAACAGAGGAGACTGGAACAGCTAGGATATCCTTAACCATCTGGGAAAGAATAGGATATCTAACGCTGTTCTTACTCCACCACAGCAAGATGTCAAACTTCATATCATTATCATCCTCGTTAATAGCATCATCAACGACAACGAGCCAACGATGATGCCGTCGTGCCTCTGGGTGGATGCGTGGAGGTTGATTCAACGACCAACCTGGTTGAATACGATGGAGGAGGAGGGATCGGCGGACGGCGGTGCAGAAGTCAGGGGATTATTACGATTTACGTCTGGGGTGGAGGGATAGGCTGCTCGCTGCTGTAGTCTATTAGAGTTAGAGATCGTTTGGCGTTTTTAGTTTTTAGGGTTGGGTTATTACGTCTTGGCCTTGGGAAGTTTTGCGGGCTGCCGGGCTGGGTCTGGAATCTGGATTGAACTCCTCGTCGGTGTCGGATTACCGTTCCGCCGACGGTAAGTAGAGGTCTCGGTAACGGCATACCGCCAGCACATTAATCCCCAGCCGCATACCGTTAAGTTCGGTAGCCGGTTTAACCGGTAACCGGTTAAACCGGCTACCGCAAAACCGTTTAGCAGCCCTAGGTTTAAGCACCAGATTATACCCGGACCTAGCAGGCCTAGAAGTGGGATGCTTTTTTTTTTACCAAAGATGGATTTGCACTTCTATATAAAAAAAAAAGATGGATTTGCACTAGCGGAAAATATAGATACAACGTTCACAACTCCCCGTTAATAGCTAAGTAATAAAATCCAATTATCCAATAATGCAACAGAAAATAAAAGAGAAAGTTTTCTTAGGCATCAAAGAGGCTACTCTAACTTGTGCAAAAAGCTTCGCCTTCAAGAATTGAAATGTGTCCGATTTTGAACGAGGAATCAATGTTGACAATCTCAAATACTTGTCATGTACCGTAACTTCCCCCACTCTATGTGTTTGGAAAATCAACACGCAATGCTGATGAGCTATATGTTGGTTAAAGCTCATTTCCGATTTTTGTCAAATTAATCATTTGCTTGCTCAAGATTATCGCGTGCTGCTTGAGCACCCAAATAGGTTATCACAATTCTGTAAAGGCCCTCACATAAAGTAATACGAGTTATCCATAAAGAAACGATGGGACACATTACGAACCGTTGGAATTAATTATTGATGTTGATAATAAATATCCTGTACTAGTAAATACACGAGGCACCTGAATTTTTCTTTTATTTCATTCAACAGTCAAAATGATTTGAGCGCATTAGTTGATTCACATATATTGTTAGGAAGTGATCAAGTATGATACATGAGTCTCTCCCAACAACTCGAATTATTGGATCTCGTTGATTTATGACATATATATAGACTTCGGGTTGTACATCTTACTAGTGGTAATAATTCTATCACCCTGATACTGTGATAGAACCTGAGATTAGGGTTCTATCGAGAATTGGGGATTTAGGGATTAAGAACAGAATTAGGGTTTTGAGAAGAGAAAGATAGAGAATCGGCCTAGGCCTTTAGAGGGATTGGGAACGAGAATTGAGAGGATTGGGAGAATAGGGTTTAGGAGAGGGTTTCTTAATATTCTTCTTGACTGCTCCTGAATAAAACGCAAAGTACATATTTATAACGAAAGACTGGAAAAACCTAATAGAATATCCCAATATGACTCAATGACTACTACCATATCTAGTAATATCCTAATTATAGTAATTATGATAATTATGAATAAACCCGGAAATTGGGTTTCTATCATCCCCTCCCCCTTCAAACCAACCTTGTCCTCAAGGTTGACCGACTCGACCCATTTCTTAAACCTATCTCCCGTGTAGATCGCGCATTGTCTCCTCCACTTCTTGCGCTTCCTTTTCTTCCAATTGAGTTCCAACACTCGAACCCGACTCTTAACACAAGCAGCTCCAACAAAAATGACCTTCCTCCGTTTCCAATTGCGTACAAGTACGCATACTAGACTTTCCACGGCACCAAGGGCAATTGGCATCCTGATCGGCCACAGAAGTGGCGAGTATCTCCTGAAGAGGTGGATAGGCAAGCTCCCCCAAGACATAAACTCGTACACCTGAAACTTTGGTTCTTCTCCAATATAATAATCAATCAATTTGACCAATTTGGAATGGAAAAAGGCTCCCAGAGCAATTAACTTCACCCAACCACTCTTTATGACCTTGAAACTGCGTCCTCTGTATAAGCAAGCTCCTGCTACCTGTACAAGCTAGCTCCTGCCACCTCTTTGCCTCCGTGCGACGCGCCCGCGTCGCTGCCACCACGTCTGCCGCCTCCGTCGCCGAGAGCTCCCCCGCGTCGACGACCGCGGCCGCCTTCTCCTCATCGATCAGCGCAGACCCGGACAACCCGTCGCACCCCCCTTCCTTCGCCGAGCCCGCGACCACGGCGCCCTTCACCGCCGCGCTCTGCGCCTCGCGCAGCCGGTCCGCCGCCACGGGCTGCTGCGCCTTCTCTTGTCGTGCCGTCACTGCAGCCACGATCCCGCGGTCGCCCGCCGTCGTTGGCTGCCGCGCCTCGCCTTCCGCGACCCCGCCGCCAGCACCGATCTCCGCCGACCACGCAGCCACCCTGGCGCGGCCGCTAGCACCAGCCTCCTCCCCCGCGCGGCCATCGCCCGCTCCTGCCGCCAGCGCGGGCGCCGTCCCTCTCGCGCGCCGCGTCGGGCCCGACGATACGGGGACCACCGCGGACGGATCGGCCGCCTCTTCCGCTGTTGCTGCTGTCCACCCGCGTTCCTGAGCCTCACGCTTGAGTTCAGATAACGTGAACTCTATTAGTTGCTTCGTACGAGCCCATGCTGGATCAGTGAGTTTCGAAGGACTCATGAGGGCTCTGATACCAAATGATAGAACCTGGGATTAGGTTCTATCGAGAATTGGGGATTAAGAACAGAATTAGGGTTTTGAGAAGAGAAAGATAGAGAATCGGCCTAGGCCTTTAGAGGGATTGGGAACGAGAATTGAGAGGATTGGGAGAATAGGGTTTAGGAGAGGGTTTCTTAATATTCTTCTTGACTGCTCCTGAATAAAACGCAAAGTACATATTTATAACGAAAGACTGGAAAAACCTAATAGACTATCCTAATATGACTCAATGACTACTACCATATCTAGTAATATCCTAATTATAGTGATTATGATAATTATGAATAAACCCGGAAATTGGGTTTCTATCATACTGATATGCAGGAATTAGACAATGTTATGTACATAATATATATATATATATTGCCGTATTCGGTGCACCCACTTTTTTGGGCGCACTCAGTGCACCTGCCTCATAATTGTCATTCTGACCATGCGATTCATGTCAAAACGGTATCAATTGTTGCTTATGATATTATGAACAAGAAGCACATGAATTTGAAAAAAAATCATTCAAAATTTACTTTAATTAGGAGGATTTAGGGATTTAGGGTTAGGGTTTAGGTTTACAATTTGGGATTTTGGGTTGGGATTCAAAATTGAATGTTAAGGGGTTAGGGTAATGGATTGATTTGTTATGATTCTATGGCATATCATCATATTATATTGAGAGTACTAATCAAAGTTCAAAATTTGATGTATTATGGACGCTAGTGCACCCAAAAAAGTGAGTGCACCGAAGCAGCGACGGATCTAGAACACAGAAGAGCACTGAGCCGAGTTTCATTATAAAATTGAATAGTAAAAAAACATAATGATTATAGTTTTTTTAATGTAAATTGTACACGACGGTATTTTAATTTAGTGATGCATCAATAATGGAACCTACATCCATACCAATAGTATACACTGTTTCAAATAAAATACTTGAGCAATCGGCAAGAAATTCATCGCTCATTTTGTTGAGCAAATCAGTTCGCACATATTTCATTGTTGAAAAGGTTCTCTTCGTAGTAGCTGTTGAAACGAGCAGCATTAATACTAGACAAATCAATCGACTAATAAATTGGCATTGTGTGTCAATCCCTGCATCCACCAACTGCTCTAGTAAGTTTTCAAGCGAACAAACCTCATATTTCTTTTAATCTTTTACGTTTTAAACTTTTAGAATTTTAGGTTTCATTGTTTTTTTTATATGCATAATCTTTGGGGCTAAAATTTAAAGGCTAAACTTAGAGTAGTGATTTGAATATGGTCATCTGAATCATTTTTCTAGTTATACCTAATTTTATTATAAAATCACACTAAGCCGAATGCCTAAAATCGAAAAATTCATAAGGACTATACTAACTACGGATCCAGAGGAGAGCTGGGCCGGGGCCCGGGGTGGCTACCCCCTAGATCCGTTACTGCACCGAAGTAGCCACTATATATATATATATATATATGGTTCAGGCTAGCGTACGTCAGTCGTACATTGTACGCCCGTCGAGTTTTACTATTTAGAGCAGGAATTAACCGAAATTTTGAACATGATACTATACCCTAACCTCTAATGGGTGAACCCCAGTCCCCAATTCTGTAACCCAAGCCACAAGATTCATTTAATCTAAAAAATAATAACCGATGTTCTGATTCGACGAAATATATTGAAGTGTAAAAACCAATTGTGAACACAGGCGTACAGCGTACGACTGACGTACGCCAGCCTTTGCCATATATATATAATGGAATTATTACCACTAGTAAGATGTACAACCCGAAGTCTAGTGACCATATATTTATGTATAAGACTCACACGCAAACCCTTTGTCAACACAAACCTAAGTTTATCGTGAAGTCCTTGGTGCACACCACGTTTCTTCTACAAACAAGACAAGTAACAGGACATATGTGGATCACGACTTTTTCATAGCTCCATGCCGTAACATCGCAAGGAATGTCGTCAATTCATAAGATGTAACATAGGATAGTTAGATCGGTAACCAACTTAGATTATGCTAATTAAGTAATATACAGTTTTAAAATGACCAACCAACGAGTGTACAAAATTAAGCTTTGATAAGGTTTTGTCCCTCGATTACTCATTACTCATGGTTTGTCGTCTTAACACAATAAGGTTACGTCTGGTAAGGAACTATATACATGTCCCCGGAATTCAGTCGTACGTTGTTTCATACTTTCATTATTACTTATTATTATTAGTTGATTTATACGTATTAGTCTTATTATTATTCATTTAAACAGAGAGTTGTCACTATTGATTAGTTATTTCAGTAGGTGAACGTAACTGTTAAATTTTACTAATTGGCTGTCCATTCTAGTGAAAGTGTGTGTTCCCCACGCTACTATTACGCCACATAATTTTTTTTTGAAATGGGGGTGGCCGTTTCATTAATACGAAACACGGTGTACAGAGTTTTTACAACACTGAAAGGAAGGAAAAAAACCAAACAAAATAAGATTGAAACTAACGATGGCCCAACAAAGCCCAAAGAACCCTGGTCCAAAACCCACAAGGACAACCCACCCCTAGCAACCCTACTTCGTTGGCCCAATCACCATGAGGACGACCGCTGATTGCATCCTCCACCGCCGAACACAGCCTCCTTCACTCTTCTGCCTTCACAAAGACAAACGCTGGGGAACGATGGTGAAGAAGCCAAGAACAGCTCCAGGCACCGGCAACACCACCAGCCCGACAAAGCACCGGCCAGAGGAAAGAAAGGAGAACCAACGACGAGGCGAACCATTCCCCAAGACGACTTCGAACTCCACCTGCACAAACAAGTAAAACCCGAGAGCCAATCTCGAGCCAAGGACAGAGGAATGGTGACAAAATCACCACAATCTGAGCAAACAACTGGATCTCGTCCTCCAAAGTGACATCCTTACTCACAAGCTCCCTGATTCTTCAGCCAAGACAACAGAGGTCCCTTCTTCTCCGAAACATCCCCATTTATGGATGAAGCAAGTGGAGGAGGATGGAGGACCAGAGAGGAGCAAGCGGACCGACGCGGATCGGCCTCCTCAAACACCTACCAGAGAATCATCCACACAGATCTAGAATCTGGTGGGCAGCAAAAACATCTCCTCGAGGAGGCATGAGCAACATCATCACAAGGATGGAGAAGAAAGCAAACGAAAAGTAGAAGCAGAGGAATCCCAACCAGATGCAAGAAACAAAAAAGACAAGGAACTGGAAAAAAAGGCAAAGCAGAATACAAAGGAAAGCATCAAGAGGGAGGATCCAGGGCTACCGCAGGTCCCAAAAAGGAAGCCGGCGGCAGCCCCTTTCAGATCTGTAATTTACCACTAGTGAGAAGTGGGAGAAGGGAAATGTAGAGAGAGATGAGTTATTTAATTTTTTTTTTGACAATAAAGTTCCACTTTTATTCCACTTCCAAATCGAGAAAAGCGAGAATACACACTATCAAAGGAAATCCGAAATTAGGTCAAGAATACTAATCCAGTCAACAGGTAGGGAGGATCTGGCTAGAGATCGTGCAACCCAATCAGCCTTAACATTGAAAGCACGTGAAACTGCCTTGACCTTCACTTGAGGGTTAGTTCTTAAGATTGAGACCATTGATCCAATCCTGGCTGCACCTCTCCAAGGCCATTTTCTTGGCTCGTCCGATAGAGCTTTGACAATCTGCTGGCAGTCTGACTGGACAACACATTCAGTGCCATATTCTTGGGCTAATTTGAGACCTTCCAATAGGGATTTCGCTTCTGCTTCGAGTGGGGTGGAACAAAGTAGAGTGTCAGCTCGCCCATCACACACTTGACCATGGTGGTTAGTGACTACCACACCATAAGCCGCCGGCTGGGAGTCGTTTAGGAACGACCCATCACAGTGAATCACCAAATTGTGATTGCTTGGCGGTGGAGAATTGAGTGATTGGGCTCCCCTGAGCTGAGTAGAAGGAGAGTCATTGGGGGGACTCCTCGGGCAGCTATTCCATTCCGTGAAATCTTTGTAAGTTCGCAAAATAACGTTCGGATGCCAAGGGATCCTATTCTTGAACACACATTCATTTCTAGCCTTCCAGATATTCCAGCAAAGGAAAATAGCATGGGTGAGGGCTCCTGGTTGGATAGAGTCCTTTAGAAGGTACAACCAGTCAAGGAAAGTAGTATACTGAGCTGGCAATGGTAGGTTTGGGAAGATAACTTCCCATGATTCCCTCGCATGGGGGCACTGAAAGATGCAATGGAAGAGGGACTCATTCGGCCATTGGCACACTTGGCACGTTGCATTAGGAGAGCATTTCCTGTGAAGCAGTCTCTCTTTTGTTGCTAGTCCGTTCCTGGCACATCTCTAGACGAAGAACTTGAGCTTAGGCGGGATATTCAAACTCCACATCCATTTCCATTTCTCCACATTGTTCATCGTTTGGTGATCCGTGACTGCAGAGTGGACCGCATGATACGCTGTTTTGACTGTAAACTTCCCATCATCATTAAACCTCCACGCCCAGAAATCCTTAGTGTCCTCCTCCCCAATCGGAACTCTCAAAATAGCATCTCTTTCTGTAGGAGAGACCTGTCTCTGTAGCATCTCATCATTCCATTTCCTGCTTTCCGTATCAATCCAGGAACTGACTTTTGCATGATTTTGTGGGCCACTCTGAATGCATGCTCTGGGAAGGAAGGGAACCCACGGATCTTGCTCAATCCATGTATCATCTCCTGATCCGATGACTCTCACAGCTCCCAGATCAATAACCTTTTTAGACTCCCACAGACTCGCCCAGATCCAAGATGGTTTGCTCCCTTTTTTAGCCGAGAGGAAGTTGCCTCTAGGGAAATAAAGTCCTTTGATAAGACGACTCCAAAGTGTATCAGTGTTGTTCATAAGCCTCCAAGCTTGTTTGGCAAGCAAGGCCAGATTGAAGTCTCTGAAGCTTCGGAAACCCAAACCTCCCTCTGATTTTGGGGTACAGAGAACCTCCTTCCTGCACCAGTGGAGATTGCTTTTCTGCATTGATCCTGACCAGAAAAAATTGCTAAGGAGAGAGTCCATTTTTTTCGTCAGTGAGACTGGTAGAAGGAACAGGCACATGATGAACGAAGGGATGGCTTGGATAACCGACTTGAGGAGGACTTCCTTCCCTCCATGTGAAAGAAGTAGGCTCTTCCACGCTTCCCCCATCTTTTCCATCCTTTGGATAAGGAAATAGAATGTTTCCTTCTTTGAATTTCCCCATTCAGTCGGGACTCCAAGGTATTTAGAATGGCAATTGGAGGATGCAAAACCAATGTGATTGATGATATCATTCTTCTCTTCAACTGGAACATTCGCGCTGAAGAGAATAGAGGATTTGTGAATGTTTACTTCTTGCCCAGTAATTGCCCCATAGTCGTTGATGACCTCCAAAATTCTTCCAGCCTCTTGGATGTTAGCTTTCCCAAAAATGACCGTGTCATCCGCAAAGAGACAGTGGGTGAGAGTAGGGCATCTGGAGTTGAGCTTGATTCCCTTGATCCGTTCTTCCCTCACCGCTTTGTCAATCAGGAATGTGAGTGCATTTGACATAAGGATGAAGAGAAAAGGGGATAGAGGGTCTCCTTGTCTAATGCCCCTCGAGGGACAGAATCTCTCTGAGGCTTCTCCGTTGAATAAAACTGAGAAGCTAACAGTCCGGATACAGGCGGTGACCCATTTGCACCATCTTTCGTCGAACCCATATTGCCTTAGGAGAGTCTCCAGACAATCCCACTCAACCATGTCATAAGCCTTTTTCATATCCAACTTCATCATCATATCCCTTCTGTTGCCACGCTTATGATTCTTAAAATGGTGTAGTGTTTCATGAACGATAATAATGTTATCTTGGATGAGGCGACCGCCTGTGAAGGCTGTCTGGAGCTCTGAGACCAAATCTGGTGTCCATTTCTTCAGCCGGGTAGACATAATCTTAGAAATGATTTTGTACCTGAAATTGCAGCAGCTGATGGGTCGGAATTGGCTTATTGTCTCTGGTTGGTCCACCTTCGGTACCATCACAATGTGCGTATCATTCCACCCTTCTGGCATGCTAGCTGAATCAAAGAATTCCTCAACTTCTCTACAGAGGGTTTCCCCAATAGTATCCCAGTATTTTCTGTAGAATTTACCCGAGAACCCATCTGGTCCCGGTGCCTTTCTCGCTCCAAGTGAGAACACTGCTCTCCTAATCTCTTCCCTGGTCACATTTGCACATAGATCCTCATTCATCTCCCCTGTTACCATCGCTGGGAATCCCTGAAGGAGGTGGGTAAACTCTATTGAATCTCTAGCCTTGAACAGATCTTTGAAGAAACCAACCGACATACCCTTCAGCCCTGCCTCATCTTCCACCCAATTCCCCACTTCATTTCTGAGGCGAAGTATTTTGTTTCTATGTTTTCTGTGTATGGTGCTAGAATGGAAGAATGAAGTGTTTTGGTCCCCTTTTTGAAGCCAAGCAACTCTTGAGCACTGACTCCAAAAAGCTTCCTCCTCAAGCCAAATTCTGGTCAATTCCGCTATGAGGATCTTCTCCTCCTCCACATTCTCTGGAATTCGTGGGGGTTGCTGGAGAATATCAAGTCTGGACACAATTTCTCTCTCCCTGAGGATGCTATTCCTATGGAAATCTTTCGCCCATGCCTTCAATTCTCTCTCGCATTTATTAAGCTGATTGCTAGATAGCCCTCCCGGTTCCCATTCCCTGCAAACAATCTCCTTGCATCCCTCTTTTTCCAGCCATCTCTCGTCCACTCTGAACGGTGTTCTTCTTCTTCTATTATCTTTATAGTAGAGATCAATTCTGATTGGGCAGTGGTCCGAAGCCACCATCTTTTCATGGAAAACTACCGCTTCTCCAAACATCACTCTCCATGATGGCGAGCACAACAATCGGTCCAATCTGACTCTAACTAAGTTTGGGCTAGCTCGTTTATTGGACCAAGTAAAAGGGTTACCTTTAAATCCTATGTCAACGAGGGCATTGTCAAAAATGAACCTTTTGAAAGGTTCCACGTTCTCGTATCTAAGAGGGCACCTCCCTTCCTTTTCATATTCATAAATAGCGGCATTAAAGTCCCCCACAATGACCCAACAATCATCTCTACTACTCCGAAGAGAGCTTAAGTGCTCCAAAAACTCCCTTCTACCAACAACCGTAGTCGGGGCATGGACAAAAGTACAAAAGAACTTCTTCCCCATGTCGATGCTAACATCCATATAATACTTATCGCTACTGATAACATTAATACTAATACCCTCCTTCCACCATAACGCAAAGCCCCTTGAGGAGTTGACCGGTTCAACATACTCCTTATTGGGGAAAACTCTAAGACTTCTCCTATGTTCTTCCATGTATTCTTCGTTTTTGCTAGTTTCCATTAGGAAGACAATAGAAGGGCCATGACGTCGAATAAGACGTTTAGCATAACTTTTTGTAAGGGATTGGCCAAATCCCCTACAGTTCCAACTCACAATACTCTTGGACCGTGAGGTGGCTTTTGGCGAACCACCGCTGCCCTTGTGTCACTTTCTTCTCCATCCCCTAAGCCTTCACTTGTCGATTGGGCTTTGTTCTTTTGGTGCTTCTTTTTTTTACTTCTTCCTTTCAATCCTCCTGCAAAAATAGAGTTAGATGGGCTAAAAGTAAAACCAGGCCCAACATTTGCCTCCTGGCTCGTTTCTGGGCTTAGGATAGAGAGGCCCTTTCTTTTCTTAATTTTCCGGCCCATCTCTCCTTCCATCTCCCCTTGGATATGCTGGTAAATGTTTTGGGCCTGTGTGTTGAAGAACCTGGGCTCCGGCCCAAGTGATAGCTGAGCGCCCATGCCCTAGAGATCCGCTGCTTCGGCCCTCCCCCCTGTCTGCCTATGCGACTCTTCTTCTTCCTCGAGACAAAGTCTCCCCTGAAGCTCCGCTGCTGCAACCTCCAGATCAACAGCCAGGTCCCTTGCCCCCATTCCCTCCCTGTATTTCCCCTTCCCCCTCACCCTACTGCTCCCCTCTTCTGCTCTGGCTTCCGCCTCTAACCGGCGAACAGTGAAGCCCGGTGGGATTTTTGGGTGAATTTCTTCCTCCCTCCTAGCCGACGAGAACTCTGCTGTCCCCAACAAATCTCTGCCCTCATTGAAGCCCCCCGAGCTGTAATTCTCCCTCCAGGCTTCAGGGTCTGTGGCTGGACTCCATTGCTCTTCCTCTATAATACGATTTTTGCTCCCACTCGATCTGTAGGGGGACTCAATTCCAGCCTTCAGCTCAGCTGTGTAGATATCAGAGAGTTGGACGTGGCCTCCCTTCCTCCTTTCTTCTTTCATTCTTGAACATGTCGGCCAGTTGTGACCGATTCTCCCACAGAAATAGCATAATTCGACAAGTCTCTCATATTTGAAAGTTATGTCTTCACAATACTCTCTTCCAGTTGCTTCATCCGTGAAGGGAAAATCGAAGCCCGTTGGGACTGGTTCACTAACCTCAATCTCGACCAGCATCCGAATGAACCTTCTGTATCCATTGAAGTGAAGGCTGGCTCTGTCCATATCGATGAACTTGCTGAAGTAGAAGGTCCCGATTGAGATGATATTCTGCTCGCATCTCTGGCTTTGGTGAAGACCATGAATCTGTACCCAGACAGCAAGCTTGTTCATGGGAACTGCCTCCGGATCTCCTCTGCCTTCGTACTTTGTCAGGGCCGTCATTGTGTTAGAGAGACTCCATGGTCTCTCAAGCCAGATTTTCTCCCTAGTCTTGGCATCTTTAAAGGTAAAAATGAATAGGTTCTGTGCTTGGGTTGGTTGGACTCCCACTTCTTCATACTTCCCCCAGGCATATCTGGCTGCTCCTGAAGCTTTCGCCAATGCCACCTTGTTCTCGGTGAGCATTTTCCCAAGAAGCATTGAGATACCCCTGCCGCTGATGGTACTCAGTTGTGGGCGAGCACCTTTGCCTCCTGAAGAAGATGGATTGCTGCGTTCGGTGCTCAGTCGGCCCGCCCTCTCAGTCAGTTCATTGATTTCCATCTTGCTTCTCTTGCTCTGTTTTCTGTGGAGGCAGGATTTTGGGGGTTTTTTGTTCGTGAGCAGAGACTGTAAGAGGAGGAATAGGCTTCTTCTTCTTCTTGCAAGGTAAGGTGTTGTGCTTTCCTTCCTGCTTCCCTCCTCCTTCTTAAAAGCCCTGCCTCTCCTTGAGGTAGCAATAACTCCCCCTGGGACTTGGTGGTTAGCTTTCTTTTCCAAATCTTCATTGGGCCTCTGTCGAGTAGATCTTCCCCTGCTGTGCTTTTCTTCTTTCTCAACTCTGGCTCTTGGCTGAAGTAATTCTCCACTCTGCCCCAAATAGGGCTTGTTGAGAACAGCCTGCAGTCTCCCCATTTCCCTGTTCATTCGTACCCCCCTTCTCCATTGCTTGTTCTGACATTGAAGAGGCAATCCCCAGTCTGGTGGCTTCCAGATCCCCTCCTTCCTTGTAGTTATTACAGAGCTCCCCTTGTGTTGTCTAGTCTCCTTTTGGCTCTTTACTACTGCTGCTCTACTGTCTATTCCCTCTACTTGCAGGCCATTAATACGAGGATTCTCTACTTGCTGGCCATTAACTTCGATCTTTTGGTTGCTCTTGGACAGAGCTGGAAAAGTCCCAGCAGCGGGGACGGAAAAGGAACCGTTGGAAGGTTCAGGGAATATTTCCGTTAGAGAGAGGGAAGAGAGAGAGCACATTTTCGCTTTTTTAAAAACCACAAGATTTGAATATGAGTTATTTAATTTGAATGTGAAGTTTGTTGGTCCAAAAATTTATTACGCCACATAAACGGAAACGGTTGGGTGCTTTTTTTTTAGACATCTTAATCCATTCATTAATGGTTCTATGAAATGCAAGTGGACAATACTCAAATTCCAAGATGAATTTGATAAAAAAGATAATAAATACTAATTATGATTTAACGAAATACATATAAAAATAAGATTATCAAAAATACATTTAAAGACAAAATCATTCAAACTACCGCATAATCCAAACATAATTCTAATTATCCTAGTGTACGTCTCACATATAATCTACTATTATCTTATAATATATGCGTGACATGTAACATATACCTGTGTGTTTACACCTATATAAAGTGATCTAGCTAGCATATTAAGATTAAACCCATATAACCATGCATTTGTGTGTTGCGTATAGGTCATATGGATATGATAAACTGTTTCATTATTGTTTCGAAGTTTTGCTAAATCGATCCCTCTCCTATATGGCTATATGAAGTCCATATTATGTATCTTCTAGCTATGATCAAGACAAGAAACAAGGCACATGCCATGGCTTTTCAGAGTTTCATTATAATTAATTAACAGCCCTCCTAACAATAAGACATGGGAATTATTAGTAATCACTAATCAGGTATCATTAGAAGCTTGGAGAAGGTTATCTTTCGATTAGTTTGTCTTCCTAACACAAGCTACGTTACGTACGTAACTAGGTATGGTATACTATTATCTGAACGTAATTGTCAAAATTTACCAATAAATAGGCTGTCCATTCTGGTGAAAGTTTACTTCCCCACGTTATTGTTACAACACATAAACAGAAACGGGCTGGGGTTTTGCATTGAGATATCTTCGTCAGTTCATTAATGATTATTGATGAGATGCACCGAGATCACATCTACTCCCACGGTACCTGTTAGTCTGGGGTACAATATCTATTATTGAAACTTTTCAACAATTTAAGGTATTTGAGCTAATTAGTTCTTGATATGGTAATTAGTTTTTGATATGGTGCTTCTGTAATCGAGAAGTCTTCTTTTCAATCCCCACGACCCCATTTGTCCAGTACCTCTACAAACTTCAAGCTTATATGAATGGCTTGCATTTGAGGATGTAAGGAAGTAGCTAGTTGGTTTATGACGTGGTATCAAAATTGATTTGTCCTTGAGGTTACGTGTTCAAGTCCTCATGATCAATATTAATCGTTGTCTTTAAAGCATATGATATGAAGCGACTGTGCAAACTTCAAACTCATGAGTTGACATTCGTTTGAGGGGTCGTGTAACTGTAAAGAAATGGTTAAGTATCATATATACATGGATTTCTCTCAACAACTCATGAGTTGACTCAGTGGCGGACCCAGAAAATTTATGTAGGGGTGTCCCTTTATAAAAATTTCATTAATTACCCTTTCAAAAATTAAATTAAAATAATAATAAAAATTTAAAAAATTCTTAAATGAGAAAAATCCAACTAGTAAAGTTACACAAAAGTCAACGGTGGGTTATCATATTTTGAAAAAAAATTGTAAAATTAAATACACACATTATCTACGGTGCTTAATAAATCTCCTTCAATATATCATATTAGACAATTATTCATGAACTAATAGGCAATTCGATTTCGAAACTTGTTCTTGATCTAACCCTAAGTTGGATAAGGTCTCTCAATACTGGTAAAATCAATACTGATAAATCTCCTTCAATAACTCATCCTGCTTAACACAATGATAAAAATTCTCAAAATCCTATAGAAGAAAACAATAAAAAGATGACCAAACTCTTCAGGATAAAATCATGTTAGCGGTGGAGATATGGATAGTTCGTATGTTTAATTTTACGCTTGGGAAATTTGGATATAAGAGTTACACGTTTATAGTTATATTTATGACAAAATTACAACACATAAAGTGTAGTCGAATAGAAAATACATTCACTAATAACTACTACGTTATAAATTTGAATCACATATACTACAACTATATCTTTTTTTTTTCTATACTCAAACTACTACCGGGGGTTCATTAATTTTTCTCCCAAATTTTAGAGGTGTCCCGGGACACCCCTAGCTTCCACCTAGGTCTACCCATGAGTTTGACTTTCCTTTGAGGGGCGCGTGTAAGGAAGCAGTTAATTAAGTACCAAAAATGTACTTCTCCCAACAACCCAAATTATTGGGACTATGAGGATGTTAATAAGTTTGTAGTACAAGATTAATTACTAAACCTCTTACAACAACTCAAATTATTAAAATATTAACTGGTTCTTTACAGTAACTAGTTAATGTTGGAAGAAAAGCCTGTCAATGATTTTGAGAAGAAGATTTGGAGCAAAGAAATTAAGGAAAGAATATATTGCAAGATCAATCATGAAATGGTGCAAAAGGGAAATGATTCGAACAGAAGATCAATTGTCATTCTTGCAATTAACGACTAGGACAAGGACGCTACAAAAGGAGACTGGTGGCTGACAAGCAGAGTCACTTTTCGAGAGTTCAAGGCACACGAGAAAGGCTAAGGAAATAGTGAGTGTGATTGATAGATAAAAGTGGTTCTGACATTGATTTTGGAGTGAACGTGTGTTAGAAAGTGAGTGTGTTGGAAAACACAGAAGCTGGACAGCTTGGTGATTAGAAGATAGTTATGAGTGGTTCGATTAATCATCCAGAATTGGATTGATTGATCTCGTGAGTGTAAAGTGTCGAAGAAACAAAATCACCATATATAGTGGAATGTCGGAAATCACAAATCGTGATCTTCCGACCGTGGAATAGTCAGTATTGGGATCCTCTTTCTCCCAATACTAGAAACTACGTAAAAAGTGACTGTCTTATTTTACTTCTGCTTCTTATTTTCTGCAGTCGAGTGTGTACTATGTTTTTCCAGAGCCAGACGTGTTTATCTCGTGCAGGGAAACCAGGTTGGAAGAAGGAAGAAGAAGAAGCTGTAGAGTAAAGGTAAAGCGCAACGTTTTGGTAAAACTCGTGGTTTGTACATGGTTAGTGAAATACGAGTGGGCCGGATCTGCTAAGCCCAATACGACAAGTTTCACTTTCGTCAAAACAATACTTAAGCGTTTAGAATCATTGTGCATTTTATATCAAAAATACGTTTCTTGCCTTCGCTCACTTGTTCTTCCCAAAAGATCGATTTAGGGTTTGCAGGTGTTGATCGAAGTAGAAAAGGAGCAGGCATCTCGCGCTCGTCGCCAGCAACACGTGGTATCAAAGCCCCATTATCGGTAGAAAAGGGTTCAACAACCTCTGGTAGATCCAAGGATGGCGTCTGGGCCAGCAAGCAACGCGCCGCTATATCTCGCCGACAGGTTTTTCCAGAATCGTCCTCCTAGATTTGAAGGAGTCAATTACGGGTATTGGAAAAACCGCATGGAGTTGTTCGTATGGTCTACGGATCCTAAATTATGGGCTAGAGTTATCAAGGGTCCATATGAACTCAAGGCTGACCAAGAGAAATGGTCAGATGAAGACTACGAGAAATTCCAGCAAAATTGTAAAGCAACCAACCTGATGTATTGCGCCCTAGGACCAGAGGAATATCACAAAGTGGCTGGGTGCAAGACAACCAAAGAGATTTGGGACAAATTGCAAGTCACATATGAAGGTACTTTTCAGGTTAAAACTTCTCGAATTAATTCGCTGAAGCATGAGTTTGAATTGTTCAAAATAAAGGAGGGAGAAACAATTAGGCAAATGTACGAAAGATTCACGAACATCGTGAATAGCTTGGAGAACCTTGGGAAAACCTATGAAAGTGGTAACCTCGTGAGGAAAATTTTATGGTGTCTACCTGAGAAGTGGACTCCGAACGTGACTGCTATAGAGGACGCAAAGGATCTGGAAACATTGGCTATAGGTGAGCTAATCGGTTCGCTGGCTACACATGAAGAAAAATTGAACAATACAGGACACGAGAAGGAGATCAGCGAGAAAGGAAAAAAAGGGGTGGCATTCAAAGCAACCAATCTAGTCGATGAACTAGAAGAACTCGATGAAATGGAAGATGAAGAGCTTGCGTTGTTGAGCAAGCAGATAAGCAGGTTGCTTAGAATCAGAAAAGAAAAGAGACAAGGTGGTTATGGGACTAAACCCAAGGAATCCAAAAAGAATGCTGGAATGACCAGAAGCATACAAGGCAAAACATTCACAAGGAATAGAGGTGAATCAAGTTCAAACACAAAGGGAGTAAACTCCACAGGGTGTTTTAAATGTGTCATAATGGGGCACATCAAAGCTGAGTGTCCTCAGCTACGAAAGGAAAGGGCTTTAGCTGCTACATGGAGCTGCAGTGAGTATGAAAAGGATGATGACGACGAAGTAACCGTCCACAGATGTTACATGGCAATTGCTCACATGGCGGAAGAAGACTCTGTGTCTCTCGTATCCTTGTCTCAGAGTTGTCTTTGAGTGAGCACAGAGGCGACTAAGTGGATCATGGACAACGGATGCTCACACCATATGACAGGTAATAAATATCTCTTTTCAACTCTTAACCTTGGCAATTTTGGTAAAGTATATTTCAGTGATAACAACTCTGCTGAGATTATAGGTAGAGGACAGGTGGGAATTAGTCCTTGCATAAAAAAATGTACTGCTTGTGGAAGGCTTAAAGCATAATCTCATATCCATAAGTCAGATGTGTGGAAAGGATTGTTGAGTGATTTTCGAACCAAATTGCTGTTATGTGGAAAATATTAAAAGCAGACATATTCTTTTCACAGGAAAGAGGAGCGGAAAAATTTATACTATTGACTTAAATGACAAGGGCAGTTTCAATGAATTGTGTCTAGTTAGCTTAGAAGCCAGTGATCAACAAGATTGGCATAGACGGTTAGGGCATGTTAATGTCAGTGTCCTTTCCAAATTGGCCAGATTAAATTTAGTAAAGGGTTTGCCTAGAATTAACGAGAAGAAGGACTTCTTATGTGATAACGTCGTATTTGCACATGTTTGCACCCTCGTTTCTTGATCATTTTGGCTAGATTTTTTGCTTTCTTGGACTATTTTACGCTAGGTTGTG